GAATAACATCTTGTAGGAGTGAGGAAGAGCCAGTTGTGAGTGTGGGGGAAGTTCGTGAGGCAGTAGGTAAAAATGAAAGGGGTAAGGCAGCCGGATTGATGGGATAAAGATAGAAATGTTAAAAGCAGGTGGGATATATTTTTTGGAGTGGTTGGTGCAATTATTTAATAAATGTATGGAAGAGGGTAAGGTACCTAGGGATTGGCAGAGAGCATGCATAGTTCCTTTGTATAAAGGCAAAGGGGATAAAAGAGAGTGCAAAAATTATAGGGGGATAAGTCTGTTGAGTGTACCTGGTAAAGTGTATGGTAGAGTTATAATTGAAAGAATTAAGAGTAAGACGGAGAATAGGATAGCAGATGAACAAGGAGGCTTTAGGAAGGTTTAGGGGGTGTGTGGACCAGGTGTTTACAGTGAAACATATAAGTGAACAGTATTTAGATAAGGCTAAAGAGGCCTTTGTGGCATTTATGGATTTGGAAAAGGCGTATGACAGGGTGGATAGGGGGGCAATGTGGCAGATGTTGCAAGGTGTATGGTGTAGGAGGTAGGTTACTGAAAGCAGTGAAGAGTTTTTACGAGGATAGTGAGGCTCAAGTTAGAGTATGTAGGAAAGAGGGAAATTTTTTCCCAGTAAAAGTAGGCCTTAGACAAGGATGTGTTGATGTCACCGTGGTTGTTTAATATATTTATAGATGGGGTTGTAAGAGAAGTAAATGCGAGGGTCTTGGCAAGAGGCGTGGAGTTAAAAGATAAAGAATCACACACAAAGTGGGAGTTGTCACAGCTGCTCTTTGCTGATGACACTGTGCTCTTGGGAGATTCTGAAGAGAAGTTGCAGAGATTGGTGGATGAATTTGGTAGGGTGTGCAGGAGAAGAAAATTAAAGGTGAATACAGAAAGAGTAAGGTTATGAGGATAACAAAAAGATTAGGTGATGAAAGATTGAATATCAGATTGGAGGGAGAGAGTATGGAGGAGGTGAACGTATTCAGATATTTGGGAGTGGACGTGTCAGCGGATGGGTCTATGAAAGATGAGGTGAATCATAGAATGATGAGGGAAAAAGAGTGAGTGGTGCACTTAGGAGTCTGTGGAGACAAAGAACTTTGTCCTTGGAGGCAAAGAGGGGAATGTATGAGAGTATAGTTTTACCAACGCTCTTATATGGGTGTGAAGCGTGGGTGATGAATGTTGCAGCGAGGAGAAGGCTGGAGGCAGTGGAGATGTCATGTCTGAGGGCAATGTGTGGTGTGAATATAATGCAGAGAATTCGTAGTTTGGAAGTTAGGAGGAGGTGCGGGATTACCAAAACTGTTGTCCAGAGGGCTGAGGAAGGGTTGTTGGGGTGGTTCGGACATGTAGAGAGAATGGAGCGAAACAGAATGACTTCAAGAGGTGTATCAGTCTGTAGTGGAAGGAAGGCGGGGTAGGGGTCGGCCTAGGAAAGGTTGGAGGGAGGGGGTAAAGGAGGTTTTGTGTGCGAGGGGCTTGGACTTCCAGCAGGCATGCGTGAGCGTGTTTGATAGGAGTGAAGGAGACAAATGGTTTTTAATACTTGACGTGCTGTTGGAGTGTGAGCAAAGTAACATTTATGAAGGGATTCAGGGAAACCGGCAGGCCGGACTTGAGTCCTGGAGATGGGAAGTACAGTGCCTGCACTCTGAAGGAGGGGTGTTAATGTTGCAGTTTAAAAACTGTAGTGTAAAGCACCCTTCTGGCAAGACAGTGATGGAGTGAATGATGGTGAAAGTTTTTCTTTTTTGGGCCACCCTGCCTTGGTGGGAATCGGCCAGTGTGATAATAAAAAAATAATAAAATAAATACATAATGGGAATTGACACAGTTGCTTTTTGCTGGTGATACTGTGCTTATTGGAGATTCTATAGAAAAATTGCAAAGGTTAGTGGACGAGTTTGGGAGTGTGTGTAAAGGTAGAAAGTTGAAAGTGAAAATAGAAAAGAGTAAGGTGATGAAGGTATCAAATGATTTAGATAAAGAAAAATTGGATATCAAATTGGGGAGGAGGAATATGGAAGAAGTGAATGTTTTCAGATTCTTGGGAGTTGACGTGGCAGCGGATGGATTTATGAAAGATGAGGTTAATCATAGATTTGATGAGGGAAAAGTGAGTAGTGCGTTGAGGTATATGTGGAAATAAAAAACGTTATTTATGGAGGCAAAGAAGGGAATGTATGAAAATAAAGTAGTACCAACACTCTTATATGGGTGTGAAGCTTGGGTTGTGAATGCAGCACTGAGGAGGTGTTTGGAGGCAGTGGAGATGTCCTGTCTAAGGGCAATATGTGGTGTAAATATTATGCATAAAATTCGGAGTGTGGAAATTAGGAGAAGGTGTGGAGTTAATAAAAATGTTAGAGGGATGAAGAGGGGTTGTTGAGGTGGTTTGGTCATTAAGAGAGAATGGATCAAAGTAGAATGACACGGAGAGCGTATAAATCTGTAGGGGAAGGAAGGCGGGGTAGGGGTGGTCCTCGAAAAGGTTGGAAGGAAGGGGTAAGGGAGGTTTTGTGGGCGAGGGGCTTGGACTTCCAGCAGACATGCGTGAGCATGTTCAGTAGGAGTGAATGGAGACAAATGGTATTTGGGACCTGACGATTTGTTGGAGTGTGAGCAGGGTAATATTTAGTGAAGGGATACAGGGAAACTGGTTATTTTTATATAGTCGGACTTGAGTACTGTAAATGGGAAGTACAGTGCCTGATTCTATTAAGATTGAGGGAATGACCACATAGACTCAAGGTTGAGGGATGATTACCTCATTCTCCTCCTGTTCTTCAAGATTCTCCTTTGTATGGACTGATGAAGCCACTGTGTGGCAAAACGTTTCCTCAATAAAGATACCCAAGAGTTGCACTTGTGTCTAATTTATTAACTTGTTGGTTCTCTGAACCATTCATCTAAATCCTGTCAGACACTGCAACTTCTTGGGATCTTAATACTTGGGAATTCTTCACTTGCCTAACCCTTGGGCACGACCTACTTCCACATTGAACAAATGTGACACCACCTACGACTGCTGCACCTCTCCTGCCTATGGTTTATAAGCTCCTCCGCACATATGCCGTATTCTATTCAAGAGTGATGGACTGACCACATCGACTCAAGGTTGAGGGTCTGATTACCTCATTCTCCTCCTGTTCTTCAAGATTCTCTTTTGTATGGACTGATAAAGCCACTGTGTGGCAAAACGTTTCCTCAATAAAGATACCCAAGAGTTGCACACGTGTCTAATTTATCAACTTGTCAGTTCTCTGAGCCATTCATCTACAAGTACAGTGCCTGCACTCTAAAGAAGGGGTTTGAGATATTGGCAGTTTGGAGGGATATGTTGTGTATCTTTATAAGTATATGCTTCTAAACTGTTGTGTTCTGAGCACCTCTGCAAAAACAGTGATTGTGTGTGAGTGAGGTGAAAGTGTTGAATGATGATGAAAGTATTTTCTTTTTGGGGATTTTCTTTCTTTTTGGGTCACCCTGCCTTGGTAGGAGATGGCCGACTTGTTAAAAAAAAAAATTAATTTCATTGCCTTGTTCCTTTATGCATTCAATTTCTTTCTTTTACATGCACTGCCAGACTGTTCCAATGACAATTTCCACATCAGCACAGCACAGAACAGTAACTACCACACATTTTTCCTCAACGGCTCTTGTCTTTTTACAGCAACAAAGCACATTTACCATTATTCGTTCTGTTGCTGTGTGCTGACATCACAATTTAGATTTCTCTCTGACTGCAACATTTTTTCCCCTCCTTCAGAATGCAAGCACTGCCCCTTCCACCTCCAGGATTCAGGTCTGACTTATGGTCTTGTTTATTTTGTTTACAGCCATTGGAACTGTTATTGGACATTTTGGGAGTTCATATCATTATGGCTTGTTGTGATGAACTTCCAAATAGGCTTCATAATAACTCTAGCTTTATGAAATTTTACTGTGTTTTTCAGTGGCATAATGATGCATTTATGCCAGAAGTTTTTTGTTAGTCAATTACAAAAAAAAAAAAAAAAAAAGTTGACATCTCATCTTTAAGTCCAAATGGAACTTTTGGCATCACTTTTTTTTTAATTTCAGATACTCAAATATTATCCATTTTAGGTTGTTTTGTTAAAAAAGCAATAATCTGAAGGAATTCTTAAAATTGATAAAAGTATAAATAAAAACTAAATGTATTCATGAGTTAGGCTAAATTTTGGCTTTTAGAATTAACATACCTGCAGCATATACAGGTTGACCATCACTGATTCGGCATCATTGGGACCTGTAAGGTGCCGGATTAGTGATTTTGCTGGATCACAGAGTGGTTGAGTTAGAATGCATTTAACCAAACAGCTAACCACCTCATCCTGGTAGCCGAAATTAGTGCCGGACTAGTGCTTGCCAGATCAGTGCTGGCTGACCTATACATAAAAATAGAAATCAGATGCTTCAGTAAATAAGGATTCTAAAAGTCAAAGGTTAAAAATTAGACTTTTGAGAAGCCATGCCATTGCTAAGTCTGGCAGAGTACTGAGGTTGTCAACTTTGTGGCACTCCACTTCTCTACATATAGCATTGTCACCAATATCCATGTTTCTCAGATTATCAGTGTTCTATGTAAAAAAAATAAGTAAAGAAATATAGTACATAATTTTCCCAGCCTCAGGTTAATTATGACAGAAGTGCAAACTAGCAAAGTGACCCATAGAAGATAGCACATTCACCAACATGCTGACATGATGATCAGATTACCCCGTATAATTACCATAAGGAAATAATTCAACCAGTGAAATGTTACACACTTTTAGGAGTACTTAAGATATTTTTCTTGGGTGGCAATCATATTTCAAGAAATAATTTGCGCTGTCTCTATATTTGCTCTTTTAAAAGAAGAAGAACTTACAGGTATTTTTCTATGAAAAACTGTATATATCTCTGTGTATCTGTATTAGGGTTATTTTTCATAGTGCTAGCAAGTGTATCTTGAAAAATATTTCCAGTGGAGCGCTACGACCCAAAACTGAACAAATGGGCAATGATGCCAGCAATGAGTACACGTCGCAAACACCTAGGCTGCGCTGTCTACAATAACATGATCTATGCTGTTGGTGGCAGAGATGATTGCACTGAACTGTCTAGTGCTGAACGATATAATCCCCATACTAATCAGTGGAGTCCTATTGTTGCAATGACATCAAGAAGAAGTGGGGTAAGTAAAAATACCAATGTTGCTTCTGTCTTTCATAGGACCATTTTTTCCAGTACTGTACTCTCCTATTTTTGGTTGCTGTGGTTGATTCTCAGACTCTGTCTCCACCTCTTAACTTGCCACTCTCCAGATTCCCCTCCCTCATAGCCTTGTGGGCCCTGTTGTACCTCCTCTTTAAACTATATATAGAGTCTGCTTTCACTGCTTCCTCTCCATGATCATTCCACTTCTTGACCACTCTGAGACAGAAGAAATACTTCTAACATGTCTTTGGCTGACCTGTGTCGTTGACTTCCAGCCATATTCCTGAGTTCCCATTTCTTACCTCACAAACAATGTATCCCTGTCTGTCTTATCAATTCCCATAAGTATTTTGCATGTTGTCACATCTTCCCTGTTTTTTCTGTCCTCCAATGCTGTTAGATTCAGTTCTATTAGCCTCTGTTCATTGCTCTTGCCCCTCAAAACAGGATCAAGCCTGATTACATCTGTACTTTTTGCAGTTTCTTAACATTGTTTTTCAGGTGCGGGTTCCATACTGGTGCTGCATACTCCAAGATAGGCCTGACGTATGTTGTATAAAGGGCCTGGAAAAACTTTGAGATTCCTGAAGCTACTCTTAAGAGTTGCCAGATAAATTTTGGCTGCAGATGTGATAGGCTGATGTGAGGCTCTGGTGATATACCAGGCACTCTGCTCTCTGAGTGAAGTATGCAGCTCCTGTCCCCCTAGTCTATATCCTGTATCTGGTCTACTTGCTCCCTCCCCAGTCTTCATGACCTTGCATTTGCTGGGGTTAAATTCAAGTAACCACTTATCTGACTGCTTGCAGTTCGTTCAGATCCCTTTGGAGCCTTTCCTTGTCCTCACCTGTCTTTATTCTCCTCATCAGCAAATGGGAATATATCTGAACGAATCCTATCTGGAGTGCTCACATAAACCAGAAACAGTACTGCACCTATATGTTGTAGAACATTTCAGTGTCTGAGGCAGAATGCGTGGGCCTACATAATTACATCGTAATGTAGTACTTGCCTATATGTTCTCTCACCCCTCAAGGTAGGCTTCATGGTGCTAGTGGGGGCTCTTGACTTGTCTTGAATTGTCCTCCACTTCTTTGGATCAGATTTGATTGCTTACCATTCCCCAGATGCTATATGACCCCTGTGGGTTTAGTGTTTCTCCTCTAATATAGTAATAATAATAATTTTTTTTTTCAACGAACCAGCCATATCCCACTGAGGCAGGGTAACCTAAAATGAAAAACCTTAATTTTTCTTTTTAAATTTAATAATTTATACAGGAGAATTTAATAATTTATACAGGAGAAGGCTTAGGGAGGAAGAAGTAATATTAATATTAATAATAGTGATATTTCTTAGTGATAATTCATTATTACATTTACATGGGGAAGTGGGACAGCATTCTTCCTCTTTTAAGCCATGCATGTCATAGGAGGCCACTAAAATGCCAGGAACAAGGGGCTAGTAACTGTATACATTACTAAATTTAAAAAGAGAAACTTTTTCTTTTTAGGTCACCTTGCCTTGGTCGGATATGGCCGGTTTGTTAAAAAAAAAAAAATTACTTTGTTCCTTCATTCGAATGACCTGGTCTTTCACTGTCATTTTTTAGCTGATGTGGCTGTGAAGCAGTGTTGGTTTGGACTTTTGTTTTTTTTAAGATATATGTTCTAAAGTTTGTATGACTTGGAAAATGCTGTATGTGATTGTCCTTAAGTAATTTATTCAGTATTTTATTACTTTTTCATCGTAGTCACCATATTAAAATATGCTCAATGTTACGCGCCCCTACTTCACTCCATTATATACAAAAATAAAAGGCCTGGTTAAAATAAGTTCTGTAATAATATATCGCGAACCACTTTATTACTAGCTAGATAAAGCAGGTTTGACTATATATTATTATCGGGTACAGTATGAATCATCAACAGTACTCTCATTGTATTATATTATATCTTTCCCCATGATTATTATAATTATAATATTATTATTATTATTATCACACTGGCCGATTCCCACCAAGGCAGGGTGGCCCGAAAAAGAAAAACTTTCACCATCACTCACTCCATCACTGTCTTGCCTGAAGGGTGCTTTACACTACAGTTTTTAAACTGCAACATTAACACCCCTCCTTCAGAGTGCAGGCACTGTACTTCCCATCTCCAGGACTCAAGTCCGGCCTTCCGGTTTCCTTGAACCCCTTCATAAATGTTACTTTGCTCACACTCCAACAGCACGTCAAGTATTAAAAACCATTTGTCTCCATTCACTCCTATCAAACACGCTCACGCATGCCTGCTGGAAGTCCAAGCCCCTCGCACACAAAACCTCCTTTACCCCCTCTCTCCAACCTTTCCTAGGCCGACCCCTACCCCGCCTTCCACTACAGACTGATACACTCTTGAAGTCATTCTGTTTCGCTCCATTCTCTCTACATGTCCGAACCACCTCAACAACCCTTCTTCAGCCTTCTGGACAACAGTTTTGGTAATCCCGCACCTCCTCCTAACTTCCAAACTACGAATTCTCTGCATTATATTCACACCACACATTGCCCTCAGACATGACATCTCCACTGCCTCCAGCCTTCTCCTCGCTGCAACATTCATCACCCATGCTTCACACCCATATAAGAGTGTTGGTAAAACTATACTCTCATACATTCCCCTCTTTGCCTCCAAGGACAAAGTTCTTTGTCTCCACAGACTCCTAAGTGCACCACTCACTCTTTTCCCCTCATCAATTCTATGATTCACCTCATCTTTCATAAACCCATCCGCTGACACGTCCACTCCCAAATATCTGAATACATTCACCTCCTCCATACTCTCTCCCTCCAATCTGATATTCAATCTTTCATACCTAATCTTTTTGTTATCCTCATAACCTTACTCTTTCCTGTATTCACCTTTTAAATTTTCTTCTTTTGCACACCCTACCAAATTCATCCACCAATCTCTGCAACTTCTCTTCAGAATCTCCCAAGAGCACAGTGTCATCAGCAAAGAGCAGCTGTGACAACTCCCACTTTGTGTGTGATTCTTTATCTTTTAACTCCACGCCTCTTGCCAAGACCCCTCGCATTTACTTCTCTTACAACCCCATCTATAAATATATTAAACAACCACGGTGACATCACACATCCTTGTCTAAGGCCTACTTTTACTGGGAAATAATTTCCCTCTTTCCTACATACTCTAACTTGAGCCTCACTATCCTCGTAAAAACTCTTCACTGCTTTCAGTAACCTACCTCCTACACCATACACTTGCAACATCTGCCACATTGCATCCCTATCCACCCTGTCATACGCCTTTTCCAAATCCATAAATGCCACAAAGACTTCTTTAGCCTTATCTAAATACTGTTCACTTATATGTTTCACTGTAAACACCTGGTCCACACACCCCTACCTTTCCTAAAGCCTCCTTCTTCATCTGCTATCCTATTCTCCGTCTTACTCTTAATTCTTTCAATAATAACTCTACCATACACTTTACCAGTTATACTCAGCAGACTTATCCCCCTATAATTTTTGCACTCTCTTTTATCCCCTTTGCCTTTATACAAATTAACTATGCATGCTTTCTGCCAATCCCTAGGTACCTTACCCTCTTCCATACATTTATTAAATAATTGCACCAACCACTCCAAAACTATATCCCCACCTGCTTTTAACATTTCTATCTTTATCCCATCAATCCCCGGGTGCCTTACCCCCTTTCATTTTACCTACTGCCTCACGAACTTCCCCCACACTCACAACTGGCTCTTCCTCACTCCTACAAGATGTTATTCCTCCTTGCCCTATACACGAAATCACAGCTTCCCTATCTTCATCAACATTACAATTCCTCAAAATATTCCCTCCATCTTCCCAATACCTCTAACTCTCCATTTAATAACTCTCCTCTCCTATTTTTTAACTGACAAATCCATTTGTTCTCTAGGTTTTCTTAACTTGTTAATCTCACTCAAAACTTTTTCTTATTTTCAACAAAATTTGTTGATAACATCTCACCCACTCTCTCATTTGCTCTCTTTTTAAAATTGCTTCACCACTCTTTTAACCTCTCTCTTTTTCTCCATATACTCTTCCCTCCTTACATCACTTCTACTTTGTAAAAACTTCTCATATGCTAAACTTTTTTCTCCCTTACTACTCTCTTTACATCATCATTCCACCAATCACTCCTCTTCCCTCCCGCACCCACTTTCCTGTAACCACAAACTTCTGCTGAACACACTAACACTACATTTTTAAACCTACCCCATACCTCTTCGACCCCATTGCCTATGCTCTCATTAGCCCATCTATCCTCCAATAGCTGTTTATATCTTACCCTAACTGCCTCTTCTTTTAGTTTATAAACCTTCACCTCTCTCTTCCCTGATGCTTCTATTCTCCTTGTATCCCATCTACCTTTTACTCTCAGTGTAGCTACAACTAGAAAGTGATCTGATATATCTGTGGCCCCTCTATAAACATGTACATCCTGAAGTCTACTCAACAGTCTTTTATCTACCAATACATAATCCAACAAACTGCTGTCATTTCGCCCTACATCATATCTTGTATACTTATTTATCCTCTTTTTCTTAAAATATGTATTACCTATAACTAAACCCCTTTCTATACAAAGTTCAATCAAAGGGCTCCCATTATCATTTACACCTGGTACCCCAAACTTACCTACCACACCCTCTAAAAGTTTCTCCTACTTTAGCATTCAGGTCCCCTACCACAATTACTCTCTCACTTGGTTCAAGGCTCCTATACATTCACTTAACATCTCCCAAAATCTCTCTCTCTCCTCTACATTCCTCTCTTCTCCAGGTGCATACATGCTTATTATGACCCACTTTTCACATCCAACCTTTACTTTAATCCACATAATTCTTGAATTTACACATTCATATTCTCTTTTCTCCTTCCATAACTGATCATTTAACATTACTGCTACCCCTTCTTTTGCTCTAACTCTCTCAGATACTCCAGATTTAATCCCATTTATTTCCCCCCACTGAAACTCCCCTACCCCTACCACTACTGTAGTGACCAATTGGTGGTTCTAGAATTGACGCCACGCGTCGCCTTCTGGCCGAGCTGAAGTCATGCTATGGAGTAGTTGAGTGAGTCAGTCAGCTCCTAGCTCTGACTCGGTACGGGTCTTCAACCCAAAGCTCCTAGCTTAAACTAAAACTTTATACCAAGTCTATTGTCTTGCCTTTGCCATTAGTTTCCTGAAGTCTGGTAATTCATGTCACTTATGAAAGATAACTATTTCATTACCCTAGACCTTTCTAAAAGAGTTAAATGGTAAGATTAGTAGATTATTAATTGAAATTATTGTATCATACTCTGTTAATGAGAATTTGAACGTAAGATTGGGTTTCTTGCTGTATAGTATTTCATTTATAATTGCCTGTGGTTATTTTAATTCACTAACCAAATGCCAATGAAACTAAATGATTGGTAATAAAATAAAACTAACAAAAAAAAATGGAGTTACTTGTGCCCCTATTGTTACGGTGAAGATTAAGTCATAACACTCAACAATAACCCACATAGAGACAGGAACTCAAAAGATGACTTTATAGGCTGTATATTTTGAACTTTTACTGGGGCCTTCGTCAGCGGACCCCCAGTAGGGGAGGGATCAAAATATATAGACAAATTCATCTTCTGAGTTTCTTCTCTCTGTGGGTTATTATTGAGCATTGACAAATGTTCATTACATTTTTATTGGTTATTCATATTAGAATGTAATTAGGACATACACTTTGGATATAATGTATCATGTAACCATTACTTTTCATGATAAATTTGTATATACTGTGTCTAATCTTGATTGAACTTTCCATTTTCTTGCTTAGTGATAATTCATTATTATATGCAAATAACCCGCACATAGGATTTGTTAACCCTTTCAGGGTTGGTGCCGTACTAGTACGGCTTGCACGCCAGGGTTGGTGCTGTACTAGTACACATAAATTCTAGCGCCTTCAAATGTAGCGAGAGAAAGCTGGTGGGCCTACATATGAAAGAATGGGTCTATGTGGTCAGTGTGCGCAGTATGAAAAAAGTCCTGCAGCACACATTGCATAATGAGAAAAAAAAAACTCCAACCGTGTTTTTGGTTTAAAACAGCGACTTTGCAGTCTATTTTCGTATGCTATTTATGGTTGTATTCTATTTTTCCTTGTCTCATTAGAATGGAAGACTTATTACGGAAATTGAGATGATTTTTATTGGTTTAACAATGAAAAGTACCTTGAAATTGAGCTCAAAATAGCAGAAATGTTTGAAATGTTCGATTTTTGCCCAAGTTTAAAAGTAAATAAATCAACCCATGCGTCCAATACACGTCAGCTGGTGAGTCTTATATTCTTTTGCAAGTGCGCTGATATTATTTATACCATTTCTACACCATTTCTACACTAATGCAGTAGTCTGCATAACAGTAAATCTTCTATTTTTTGTGAGAATAAAAATTCAAAGTGGAAAGCAAAAGAAATGTAACAGAGGCCTAGGGACGTGACTAATGAACAGAGGAAAAGCTATTTTAGTGCCAGGAATGTCTGTCTTGCTTATTCTGGACCCTGTTTGGAAATTGGCATCTTTTGAAATTTGTGTGAAATTGGTAAAATTGCCAATTTCGGACCACTTTATTGGATAGTTGAAATCGGTAAATGAGTGGTTTCTTGTACTCTTTCGATAGAAATAATGGGGTTCTAGCGAAATAGTTATGATTTTTGTCGACTGGTACATAGGAATTAGCTGAAAATAGGGCTCAAAGTGGGCGAAATCGCCAATGCATAAACATTGTTGAGACCGCTAACTTTGTGAGAGCATAATTCCGTATGTTTTCCATCAAATTTTGTACTTTTGGTGTCATTATGATTGGGAAAAGATTCTGTATCATTTCATAAGAAAAAATAATTTTTTTTTTTTCGAAAAATTTCTGACCCTGAGAACAAGTTTAGGAGAGGGCTTGCCGACCCTGAAGAACAAGTTTAGGAAGGGCCTGCCGACCTTGAAAGGGTTAATGGTCCAAGTTGGATTGAAACATTATCATATGTTTCTTTCTTCTATGTGTGGGGTACTTGTGTTTTGTTCTAGTCACGGTATTGTGGCTTTTTATTCATTAATTCATTATTATATTTGCAGGTTGGATTAGCAGTAGTTAATGGCATGCTGTATGCAGTTGGAGGCTTTGATGGAACGACATATCTCAAAACAATAGAGGTATATGATCCTGATCAGAACCATTGGCGGTTGTGTGGGTCCATGAACTACCGTCGACTGGGTGGTGGCGTGGGTGTCGTCAAACTTCCACACAATGAAGCACATCTCTGGTGATTAAACGAAGGGCTAGAATTCTGGCTTGGGGTAACTGTCAGTGGAAAATTAGGTATTGGAAGTGGTATCGGAAAATAGTAGCATTTTCAGATGTTGTTAATGTAATAATGTTTATAAGTGTATGTTATCAAATGTAGGATCTGTGGTGGTGGACCTCTAATGCATCATGCTTATTAAATAGCAAGAGATATTAATTAAACAAGCTATATTTATATATGATTAGCAATACAAGCAAAATATCTACTGGTCCATCAGTAAAGATATATATACTGTTGTGATATGTATTAAGTACAGTAAAATTTTGATTTAACGGAATAATAGGTGGGGGGGGATAGATGGAAAAGGTTATGTGGTAATATTGATTGTCCATTAAATCTGAGTGATGGGTTGTCAAAAAACAGCAAAAATATTTGTTGCAAAAGAATTTTTACCTAGTATTTCTCATTTAGTAATGTTCCTTTTCACTTATAAATGGTATTAAATATTGTTTAAGTCACATACTGTACATATACACACGTTAATGAATAGAGCAGAGCTATAATATAGTAGCATACATATGCACGAGGCCAAGGAGAGGAAACGGGAGAAGGTAGTGATGAATGTGGGAGGGAGAGTGTGGAGTGAGCTCCCTCACTTCACACATCTGGTATACACGTATATGAGTGACTGACAGGTGAGGGTGGGGTCATTGAAGTCACCCTCTGTCTCTTTCTCTCTTACTGTACTTGCTCTCTTTACCATACATAATAAACTTAACAATATTATTTATATTAGCATAACCAACCATAATTTGTATTTCATATTAAACTGAAAAGGTAAATAAAATATTGGTTAGTTTTGAAAATGGGAAAAGTGAGCTTTCTGGGAACTCTGCAGTGAGCCCATTGCAAACAAACTGGTGGAAGTGTGCATTTTGGTTATGGTCTTCCTGGAGTCTGACAGGTCTCCTTGGAGCCCAGCCAGGAATCCCTGGAGTCTAACCAGTGCTCTTTCTAGTCTGACAGTATCTCCCTGGAGTTCAACCAGATATCCCTGGAGTCTATGAAGTCTTCCATTTGGGCTCCATTATTTACCTTCTGTAGTGGATAGATGAGATCTTGTTATGATGGCACCAGTAATGAACAAATCTTTAAAAAATGGACTTTGTGAATTGTTTGTGGACTTTGTTATTGAGGGAGTTTGGCCATTGTCCGGATTTTGTCCATTAAATCCGAAGCAGGTTAAATCAGGGTCCGTTAAATTAAGGTTTTACTGTTCTGCTAAATTAATGATGCAGAAGTACAAGGTTCCAGTTGTGAAAAAAGTAAATTAAAGTGATTGAGTAAAACAAGGAAGATTGTGAAAATAAAATTAATTATGAGTTAAAATGACAGACTCCAAATTTTATGCTAGAATTCTGCCTGTTCAAGTCACAAAAGATGTGTGAATTAAATTAATTAATGTAATGTGGACCAGAGTTATAGGACTGAACAAAGTCTTTGGCCAAAACCATAAAACTCACCCTAAGATCACAGCAAAGATTATATTTAAGTTATCCTTATTTTTGATGTGAGTTTTCTATATTAGTACTCTTAGTGTTCTGTGGGGAGTTCAGTAGGTGACCACTGGAATAAACCAATGATTATATTTAACAGTATGGCCCATATACTTTTGAACATCATAAGGCAAGAGGGGTATATGTAACTGAAAGGTTCACTAGAATAAGAATTTAAAAAAAAAAATAAAATATTTCTTAATTAATTTTTTCTTGTTTTGATAAAGCATTGATTATTATATCTGACAATATAGCCTTCATGTTGGTAGTTCTTGTAATGCAAAAGTAACTTTAATTGAAAGGTTTGCTAAAATAAGGGCTCTTAAATTACTCAAAAAAAATTTTAAATTAAATTTATCCTTCTTCTTATAAGGCATTTGTTTACCCATATTTTTCCATTCTGCTGTCTCTCTACATAAATGAGCTTCGATACATTGTTCCTGTTCTTTTCTTTTATTTTTTTGACTGAGGGACCTGGCATAGGCATCTCAGAATTCCATTAGTTGTATTCTCTGAATTTTTTCAGTCTTGGAGTCAGATGTGCCAATATTCCATATTCATGGGTAAATACAGTTAAAAACAAGCTTACTTTTTTTTTTATAGAAAATTTTGTACAAGAAATTTTTGTAACTAATTTTAGGGAGGTGTAAATGCAAGAAGTGGTCCAGAAATGTTTAGGCAGTGTTTTCCTTTGACTATATTTTGAGTCACTTCCATGTTATATAATAAGATGTCCAAGTGAATGGTGGTTACAGGAGAAACCATCTCGGGAATCCTAATTTTGTTTTTATTTTTATGTAAAAGGAAAGAGACACTGCTGGAATTATGGTTGTAATATACATTGGTAATAATTAGGTAAATGCCATATTACTTTTTCCATGTTTATATTCGTCACAGTTCATAAGAGCCAGCATTTCACCAGTATACTGACTTTGAGAAGGACTGTGGACATTTACAAAGTCACTCCTGCACTGCCTCTTTTAACATTGTCATTAGTGTTGAACCTGCAGCCCTCCCTGTCACTTTTTCACTATGGGCTTACAGCTATGGGCTGTAAGCTCATAGCTGTGCTTTGTCTCCTGTGCCATATGTGGACTGGTTTGATTGTACTGCCAAAAGATCCTATCAGTTACATTCAGTGGAGAATGTTCTTAGTTTTGCCTTTTGTTCTTGCTCAGAGGGGAGATTTTTGTCATTGTAACACTAGGTAAGAGAATCAGTCATGGTAGTCCCATTCATGTCACAAAAGATAGTCAACATCTCTATCCAGCCAATGGTATAGCTGTAATTTGGAACAGGGTAAGATGAGGTGCCACTATTCTGTGCTCAATCACTCTCATTTCAGGTGCATAATGGTGTACTGATGATTTATCACTAGTGATAATTCAGTTTAGGGGATTTTCATTACAGATCACCATGTGTGCCCTCCATATTCATTGCTAGGGCCTTCACAGCCCCTTTTCTTTTGTTCGGCTGTGAGCAGCAGCGTATAAGTATTCAGGACAGTGTTGCTGAACCTAAGCATATTGCTGGTTCTGCATGACAGTATTTATTGCCTGCTGAGAACAGTAATTGAAGGTTTCTAAATTTAATTTTACATTGTAGTAGGGTGAGCTTACATGTTTAAAACATTTGCATTTTCTCTCAACTTTATATTGATTCTTGTCTGTATTTATACCCACATATCTTATATTTTGAGTGTAAAACAGAAGCCTGTAATTGTTTTGTATGATGGTAGGATTGCTGGTGTCTTTTTTCTGTCTCATAAACATGCAAGGTTTCAGGTACGTCTTACTACTTCTACTTACACTTAGGTCACACTACATTTGCATGTTTTTTTTTTTTTTTTCAACAAGTCGGCCGTCTCCCACCGAGGCAGGGTGACCCAAAAAAGAAAGAAAATCCCCAAAAAGGAAATGCTTTCATCATCATTCAACACTTTCACCACACTCACACATTATCACTGTTTTTGCAGAATACAACAGTTTAGAAGCATATACGTATAAAGATACACAACATATCCCTCCAAACTGCCAATATCCCAAACCCCTCCTTTAAAGTGCAGGCATTGTACTTCCCATTTCCAGGACTCAAGTCCGACTATATGAAAATAACCAGTTCCCCTGAATCCCTTCACTAAATATTACCCTGCTCACACTCCAACAGATCGTCAGGTCCCAAGTACCATTTGTCTCCATTCACTCCTATCTAACACGCTCACGCACGCTTGCTGGAAGTCCAAGCCCCTTGCCCACAAAACCTCCTTTACCCCCCTCTCCAACCCTTTCGAGGACGACCCCTACCCCGCCTTCCTTCCCCTATAGATTTATATGCTTTCTATGTCATTCTACTTTGATCTATTGTCTCTAAATGACCAAACCACCTCAACAACCCCTCTTCTGCTCTCTGACTAATACTTTTATTAACTTCACACCTTTTCCCAATTCCCACACTTCGAATTTTCTGCATAATATTTACACCACACATTGCCCTTAGACAGGACATCTCCACTGCCTCCAACCGTCTCCTCGCTGCTGCATTTACCACCCAAGCTTCACACCCATATAAGAGTGTTGGTACTGCTGTACTTTCATACATTCCCTTTTTTTGCCTCCATAGATAACGTTTTTTGACTCCACATATACCTCAACGCACCACTCACCTTTTTTCCCTCATCAATTCTATGATTAACCTCATCCTTCATAAATCCATCCGCCGACACGTCAACTCCCAAGTATCTGAAAACATTCACTTCTTCCATACTCCTCCTCCCCAATTTGATATCCAATTTTTCTTTATCTAAATCATTTGATACCCTCATCACCTTACTCTTTTTCTATGTTCACTTTCAACTTTCTACCTTTACACACCTTCCCAAACTTATCCACTAACCTTTACAATTTTTCTTTAGAATCTCCCATAAGCACAGTATCATCAGCAAAAAGTAACTGTGTTAATTCCCATTTTGAATTTGATTCCCCATAATTTAATCCCACCCCTCTCCCGGACACCCTAGCATTTACTTCTTTTACAACCCCATCTATAAATATATTAAACAACCATGGTGACATTACACATCCCTGTCTAAGACCTACTTTTACCGGGAAGTAGTCTCCCTCTCTTCTACACACCCTAACCTGAGCCTCACTATCCTCATAAAAACTCTTTACAGCATTTAGTAACTTACCACCTATTCCATATACTTGCAACATCTGCCACATTGCTCCCCTATCCACTTTATCATATGCCTTTTCTAAATCCATAAATGCAATAAAAACTTCCCTACCTTTATCTAAATACTGTTCACATATATGCTTCAATGTAAACACTTGATCTACACATCCCCTACCCACTCTGAAACCTCCTTGCTCATCTGCAATCCTACATTCTGTCTTACCTCTAATTCTTTCAATTATAACCCTACCTACATTTTTCCTGGTATACTCAGTAAACTTATTTCTCTATAATTTTTACAATCTCTTTTGTCCCCTTTCCCTTTATATAAAGGGGCTATACATGTACAAGCATATATATGCACACCCCTCTGGGTTTTCTTATCTTTTTCTTACTAATTCTTGTCCTTGTTTATTTCCTCTTATTTCCATGGGGAAGTGGAACAGAATTCTTCCTCCATAAGCCATGTGTGTCGTAAGAGGCTACTAAAATTCCGGGAGCAAGAGGCTAGTAACCCCTTTTCCTGTACAT